GAAAAATGGCCATTTTGGACCAAAAGCATGGGTTAACCCCTTTGGAAAAATGTCAATTTTCCCGACTTTTTCAATTTCTTGTTTTTATAGCCTAAAAAGCCGTTTTTTTTTCGTTCTAGTATATCGTAAAAGACATTTTCCTGAGCTATATTGACTAAAAAAAAAAAGTTGGAAAAATGGCCATTTTGGACCAAAAGCATGGGTTAACCCCTTTGGAAAAATGTCAATTTCCCGACTTTTTCAATTTCTTGTTTTTATAGCCTAAAAAGCCGTTTTTCGTTCTAGTATATCGTAAAAGACATTTTCCTGAGCTATATTGACTGAAAAAAAAAGTTGGAAAAATGGCCATTTTTGGACCAAAAGCATGGGTTAACCCCTTTGGAAAAATGTCAATTTCCCGACTTTTTTTCAATTTCTTGTTTTTATAGCCTAAAAAGCCGTTTTTTCGTTCTAGTATATCGTAAAAGACATTTTCCTGAGCTATATTGACTAAAAAAAAAAAGTTGGAAAAATGGCCATTTTTGGACCAAAAGCATGGGTTAACCCTTTGGAAAAATGTCAATTTCCCGACTTTTTCAATTTCTTGTTTTTATAGCCTAAAAAGCCGTTTTTTCGTTCTAGTATATCGTAAAAGACATTTTCCTGAGCTATATTGACTAAAAAAAAAAAAAAGTTGGAAAAATGGCCATTTTTGGACCAAAAGCATGGGTTAACCCCTTTGGAAAAATGTCAATTTCCCGACTTTTTCAATTTCTTGTTTTTATAGCCTAAAAAGCCGTTTTTTTCGTTCTAGTATATCGTAAAAGACATTTTCCTGAGCTATATTGACTAAAAAAAAAAGTTGGAAAAATGGCCATTTTGGACCAAAAGCATGGGTTAACCCCTTTGGAAAAATGTCAATTTCCCGACTTTTTCAATTTCTTGTTTTTATAGCCTAAAAAGCCGTTTTTTCGTTCTAGTATATCGTAAAAGACATTTTCCTGAGCTATATTGACTAAAAAAAAAAAAGTTGGAAAAATGGGCCATTTTTGGACCAAAAGCATGGGTTAACCCCTTTGGAAAAATGTCAATTTCCGACTTTTTCAATTTCTTGTTTTTATAGCCTAAAAGTTTTTTTTCGTTCTAGTATATCGTAAAAGACATTTTCCTGAGCTATATTGACTAAAAAAAGTTGGAAAAATGGCCATTTTTGGACCAAAAGCATGGGTTAACCCCTTTGGAAAAATGTCAATTTCCCGACTTTTTCAATTTCTTGTTTTTATAGCCTAAAAAGCCGTTTTTTCGTTCTAGTATATCGTAAAAGACATTTTCCTGAGCTATATTGACTAAAAAAAAAAGTTGGAAAAATGGCCATTTTTGGACCAAAAGCATGGGTTAACCCCTTTGGAAAAATGTCAATTTCCCGACTTTTTCAATTTCTTGTTTTTATAGCCTAAAAAGCCGTTTTTTCGTTCTAGAATATCGTAAAAGACATTTTCCTGGGCTATATTGACTAAAAAAAAAAAAATGGCCATTTTTGGACCAAAAATGGGGCCTTTGGAAAAATGTTTTGGACCTTGTTTTATAGCCTAAAAAGCCGTTTTTTCGTTCTAGTATATCAAAAGACATTTTAGCTATATTGACTAAAAAAAAAAAAAAAAAGTTGGAAAAATGGCCATTTTTGGCATGGAAAAATGTCAATTTCCGACTTTTTCAATTTCTTGTTTTTATAGCCTAAAAAGCCGTTTTTTCGTTCTAGTATATCGTAAAAGACATTTTCCTGAGCTATATTGACTAAAAAAAAAAGTTGGAAAAATGGCCATTTTTGGACCAAAATATGGGAAGCCAAATGTAGCAATATTCAATTGGTTTAATTTTATATGTAGTTTTGTATTATGTGTTCAACTATGCGTTTAATATTCAACTTATATTCAACATTCAACGCGTTATTCAATATTCAACTTCGCATTCAACATTCAACTATTCATTTTATATTCAATTCCTTATTTACCCATTCAATTATCTATTCAACAATTTCAACCATTTATTCAACATTCAACTTTAATTTTTAAAACATTCAACTATTCATTTAACATTCAACTTTAATTCAACATTCAACTATTCATTCAACATTCAACTATTCATTCAACTCTTTTGAGCCCTCACTACTTCTGGTCAGTGACACGGATCATTGCTCGTTAAAAACATGGCGGTGGTGGCGGCTAGAATGCCAGCTACGGAAATAGAAGCTTATGAAGATGACACAAGGCTCCACTTCGAGGTGGAGTCTGACTTCCCAAGGTTTCTTGACCCGGTTTTACAAAGAACTAACCAGGTTTCCCAGACGAAAGGGGATGATGAAATTGTGGAGCAGCATATTGTCGTTGTCGATCAAACGGTGCGTTTGCTTTGTATACCCAGGTATACCCCGAGACAGCAGTTCGAATATTAACGCCTATGACAAAGAAACCTCAGATAATCTCTCATCAGCATTCAGTGATGTCGATCAGCCCTGCAGCAATGTTTAGCCAGAGCAGCCGTGTCTCCCACCACAATTGTATGGGTATGACCCAGAGGGCCCCTCTCCTTCAGAAGAAGATAACAACGTTGTTGTCGAATCAATTTCTTTAGATAAAAGGCATTCAATAGAGTGCTATGTGTTGGATGCTGTTGACCCTCCAACCCATTCCACTCAACTGGGTATCGATCTTTGTATTCAAGCCCTAGACCTGGTCAGGGATAGAATGGAATGATAGTTAGATCTCCCTGGAACAGAAAATTACTACCCAGACGTGAGGAGGACAGGCTCCTATGTAAAAGTGATCAGGATGCTTGTGGGGGAAATTACAACTACACCCCTAAAAAAAAAACAATGTGGGTAGGGCTCGGGCTTTATTTGACCCCTAGGAAGATGGTCATTTTTTGACAAGTCTGAAAAAAGGCAGGTGCATGTTCAATTGTTTAAATTACTACTAATAATATAATAGGACTTAAAGATAATGCTTGTGTAGAGTATCTGGGGTTTCCACTTTCACCAGCGAGCCCACCAAAGAACATTTCTCATGGGAGTCTGAGAAAATGAATGTCAAATTTCACAAAATTACATCTTACACTTGAAATTTTCAGAATTTTACCCATGTTTTCACAATTCTTGTGAATTCTTAGTAGTAATTTTCTGTTCCAGGGAGATCTAACTATCATTCCATTCTATCCCTGACCAGGTTTAGGGCATGAATATAAAGATCAATACCCAGATGAGTGGACTGTGCTAGAGGGTCCACAACATCTAACACATAGCACTCTATTGAATGCCTTTTATCTAAAGAAATTGATTCGACAACAACGTTGTTATCTTCTTCTGAAGGAAAGGAGACCTCTGGGTCATACCCATACAATTCTTGGTTTGCAACCACGTGACAAGGCGGCCATGTTGGGGGTCAAAACAAAAGAATATTTCCTCGAAGAATTTACATGAAAATAGAGTTTAGTTCCCAGAGGAGAGAAATGCTTTTGTTCTTGACCACCAACATGGCCGCCGTGACGTCACGTGCAAACCAGCAATAATATTGTGGTGGGAGACACGGATGCTCTGGCTAAACATTGCTGCAGGGCTGATCGACATCACTGAACGCTGGTGAGAGATTATCTAAGGTTTCTTTGTCATAGGCGTTAATATTCGAACTGCTGTCTCGGGGTATACCTGGGTATACGAAGCAAACGCTCCGTTTGATCGACAACGACAATATGCTGCTCCACAATTTCGTCATCCACTTTCGTCTGGGAAATCTGGTCAGTCCTTCGTAAAACCGGGTCAAGAAACCTTGGAAAGTCAGACTCCACATCGAAGTGCAGCCTTGTGTCATCTTCATAAGCTTCTATTTCCGTAGCTGGCATTCTAGCCGCCACCGCCGCCATGTTTTTAACAAGCAATGATCTGTGTCACTGACCAGAAGTAGTGAGGGCTCAAAAGAGTTGAATGAATAGTTGAATGTTGAATGAATAGTTGAATGTTGAATTAAAGTTGAATGTTGAATGAATAGTTGAATGTTTTAAAAATTAAAGTTGAATGTTGAATAAATGGTTGAAATTGTTCAATAGATAATTGAATGGGTAAATAAGGAATTGAATATAAAATGAATAGTTGAATGTTGAATGCGAAGTTGAATATTGAATAACGCGTTGAATGTTGAATATAAGTTGAATATTAAACGCATAGTTGAACACATAATACAAAACTACATATAAAATTAAACCAATTGAATATTGCTACATTTGGCTTGCCATACCGCAGTCTGTATGTTACACAATTAGAATTCACAATTAGAATTAAGAACCAAATTTTAAAATATCAATGAATGAATGAATGAGACCCGGGGGGGGTACTCGCAGAAAAATTGGGTAGGGGTGTGCGGCCCGCTTCCCAAAACCCTTACCCTATTTATGACCAAAATCTGCGATTTTCCCTACCCTATTTATGACGTAACCAAAAATTTGATACCCTATTTATGACCTGGAACATGATTTGTGAAGGGCTTTTGTTGCTTGTTGCTTGCATTTTCTAGCCTACAAAGCAGCCGGTGGAGAGGAAGGCAAAGCGCGGATGAAAGGAGGGGGACATGATAAGGAAGTAGCTTCTTCTAAAAAAGTGCATTCAAGACTACAGTGCAAAAATCGTTGCCCTATTTATGACCAAAATAGCGGCAAAATAGCTAAAATCGATACCCAATTTATGACCAAAACGGCTGAAAAACCCTACCCTTTGGGGCCGCACATACCTATAAGCCCATATTAGGGAGTACCCCCCCCCCCGGGGAATGAGAACTGTAACATTTTGTAATGTTTTGCACGTACTAACTAGTTGAATTAGTACTTAAATTTAGACTTATAGCTTTTGCAATACTGTAATTCCTTTATGGCCATGCAAATAAAGCATTTGGTGCTACACAGCCGTTTTCAGTGTCGTCACGCAACGCTCCTCCCCACTAAGGAGGAGCGTTTCGTGACGACACTAAAACGGCTGTGTGGCGGACCATGGCGTCGTAGGCAAAAGGCTGTTTATTCTTTTGCATTCAGTCCTTGTTTGACCTTGAGCAGAGTATATTTCCTTGAATGGCAATTTCTAATCTTAAGCTCGGCGCTTTTACTGTTCTTCTCCTGGCTGTGTGGGGAATTTATCTGTTTTTTTCAGTGGAGCAAGAATCACCGAGAACCACAAGACCTCTTTTCAAGCGCTTTACCGGTAACTGTGGGCGAATTCTAAAGGTAATAGTAGAACAGATTCTAGTGGGTTATAAATGAACATTTTACTATCCAATTCATTCGGCAAAAGCGAAGTTAATGTAGTGGAAATAATTACCGAGACGAAGTGAAGGAGATCGTTCAACCGACGTTGAGGAGAATGTTTTTTTTTTCCTTAGTATATTTACTTCAGTAATTAACGGGAACTGAAGAAAGGTAACAACACTTCAGTTAAAAATGTTTTTTAAACATATTGTACGCTTCTATTGGGTTATATGACATAGTCATGGACCAACCAAATCGTTTGAATCTCCACCGAGAAATTATACTAGTTCGATTTTAATAAAGTTCTGTTTTAAAATGCTGAACAGCTGAACAGCTGGATTTCGTAAATAACCTGGTTCTTTCCTTTTCGCTTTTGAAGGACTCCAGACTAGGTGTAAAACAAGGTCTGGGTATAAAGCTTGGGCTAGGTGTAAAATGCGCATTACGGAATGCGTGTAAAAACAGCTCTAGGAAGATATATTAAAATTAGTGAAACAGATGGAACTACGTGCACACAAACGCACACAAACGTTTCTTAAGCTCGTCACGTAATCTTTTCTCCGCAACGTTCGTACTGAAAGTGGTACGAAGCCCTAAAACACATATAGGACAAAAATTTGAAAGTTAGAATTTTATAAAAAAGGAAAACTTGGAGTTAGAAGAGAATTCAATTTACGATATTATGAATGGAAGTTGCGTAAGCACGATCAAGTTTTTGCAACCGCAGACGTTTGACGGGTAACCTGAGATCAGGCGTAATTTTTTTTTTGGCTTCTTTGGCTCGTGAGAGACATAAAGGGATAATAGGGAGAACGCATGATCTCAGGCTATTTGAGAGGAGACATAGGGTTTTTGTGCGTGAGAGATAGAACAAATATTTGAGACGCGTTGGAAAACCACGAGGAGGATAAAAACAAGGATTTGTCGAGTACAATTTGTGAGTACTTGAGATTAGAGTGTATGAATCGACATACAGATATTTGGACCGGGTCTAAAGTCCAGGCCTCATAATGAATGAATGCTTATGGTTAGGCTTTTGTACATTATGCTAGCATTTTTTCGAGCATTTTAGTGAGGCAAAAGCATTGAGCATTATTCGAGCATTTTAGTGGCATTTTCCCCGGAAAATTAATTTTTCCGAGAAAATAAAATGGAAATTAACTTTTTTCAGGAGCCCATGCCCCATGAGCTCCTGCTTTTTTTAGACAAAATGAAGACTAAAACTCAAAATTCACAAAAACCCTAATACAGCTGGGTTTTTTTGGCTGTATTTATGACCTTGTACACGTTGTCGTTGTTACTTGCAACACTTGCACGTTTTTGTAAGTGTAAACTTTGAAATTAATTTTAAAAACCGTTTGTATAATGAGCATTAACCGAGCATTTTAGTGGAAAAATGGAGCATTAAGGTGGAGCATTTTAGTAGGGAAGCAAAAACATAATGTACAAAAGCCTACTTATGGTAGCTGTTCGCTATGGACGTAATTAGACTGTATTGTAGTTTTCTTTATCAGGCTTTATTCAGGGTCCACATCAACTGGCCATGTTTTGCATTTGACATCCACGTGCGGTACTTAAATTTCACTTTCAGCTGTCTTTGGCATTCAACTCACTTGACAGTTAACTCTTTGCATTCGATAATGGATATTCAAGTTTGAATTTTCAATATATAAACGAGAATGGCCTATGCAAATATTTCTAAACAAAAGAAAACAAGATTTGAGTAAACCTTCGGTTAACAGTCCATCTTGTTCGGGCTGAAAAGGCAGAATCGCAGGGGACTCAGTAGTTTGCGTGACGAAAGTATGGTCAGTAAACAATCGCTTGTCACGCAAGATTTTAATAACTACAGGCTAAGAGCTAGTAAAATACAATTGCGGGAAACGTTTTGTTGACCTAAGCTGTTGATTATTGTTGTGGTTGTTTTTGTAAACGTTTTTTTATATACAAGTGGTCTTTTGTTTCTTCTAAGTATTTACAAAGACCGCTATTTGAAATTGTCCAACGACCTCATTTTAGCCGGATATTACTGTCAGCAGGCAACAATTCTGTCCAACATAGGAGTGTGTGACGAACCAAAAGACGCCTGCGTAAGTTAATATTTGACCATCAGTCACGGTCATTCGACGTAAAAACGTGGTCGGTCTTTTTTCATTGCGTCTTTTTTCATCGTGTTCACTGAGGAGGAAATCATCATTAACTCCTGAAAATCGTGGAGATTGGAGAAGTGTGACGCCACGTTTGCATGGTACCAAAATTTCGAAAAGAACGAAAAGAAAAATAAAACAACGTCGGTGTACAGGCTACCTGAGTGCAATCATGCACACGACAGACAAACATGTCAATTTTTTAGTCTTTTCTGCCATATTCGCCGGAACACGGTTTATTAAGATCCAGAAATTTTGCTGCCATGGCAAAATGAAGAAACTACTTCTTGTCTCTGTAAGCCATTGTTCCACCCCAGTCCTTGAATCGTCCGTTACAAATTAAACCGAGTGGCTCTGGGGACGAGAATGACCCCAGTCAGCCAATGAGCCTCCATTCGCGCATGGTTAGTCGAGATGAGCTAAAATAAAAGCAACGGAAAAAAACAAAAGCGGCCCTGGGGCCCGTTTCTCGAAAGTCCCGATAATTAACGGGCCCGGTAAGCTGTCTCCGTTTACATTAAAGATCGAGGTTTCAATAGTTTTGCATCTAGCATGATAAAACTATCAGTTAGTGAAACAGAATGGAGTAGTCTGCTAGCCAGGACCGGCGCTCTTATTCTTTATATTTCGATTTGAATATTTGTTTTCGGGCCCGAAAAGTTACCGGGACTTTCGAGAAACGGGCCCCAGGACTGGGTCGTTCTCTGGCCGGTCCTCGCCCCTTTAGGGGCCTCCACAGACCAGACATTTAGTTGTCGACAACTATTTTTTCGACAACTAAAAGTTATCGACAACTAAAAAAACAGCAGTGTGTGAGGCGGGTTGTCGACAACTAAGCAGTTTCCCTTTTCAAAAAGGGAAACTGCGAAGTTGTCGACAACAAATAGCTGTCGATGACTACGTTTTTGACCGTTTTTTCTAGTGTGTGGAGATATATAATTTACTTATCGACAATATCATATTTGATTTTATCTTCGATGACAGTGGTCAGTGGTCTTTCTTACAAACAAAAATGGCCGAAGGCACTTGGCAAAACAATTACATGAAAGAGAATATTCTTTTTCGAATACCAACACGGCATTGAAAGCCATAGGCGTACGGGAAGGTTTTTGCCAGGGGGGGCAGTAAACCATTTGCCCAAAAAAAGTTTGCAAGTTGCTCAAATTTTTACAAAACAGTCGAACAGAAACGAGGGCCGATGCAACAACATAGGCCGTACTGGCATATGAAAATGGCTCGATACAGTTTTTTAGGGTCAATACCTGCCAAGTTTGAGCATAAACTACTTGGCCATAAACAAACGTTTGGAAAAATTGCCACCACAGTTGTATTAGATAAAGATGAAAATTTGTTGTGATCAGGGTTGCAATGATATCGAAGTTGTCGTAGCAACGAAATGAAGCCATTATCTATTATGCTTGCAGCAATATTTCTCCGCGGGAACTGTTCTTCCAAAATCGATCACAGGAGCTTTTTCCTCCAAAAGTCGCCTGGATGTTCGTGAAGTTAAAAAAGAATCTATAAGAGCGTTATCGAGATATTTTGGGATAAAGTTTTCTTTTTTAAACGTATTTTTTTTCGGGCTTCTTTGCATAAATTGCGTTCACTGCGACGATCATTTCTTCATTTCCAAAGTTTTTATCGTTGGAAATACGGTTAAAAAAGGAAAATCTTGATGTTTGGCTGTTATCTGTAGAAAACGATGCGCTTTTGACACGCAATTTCACCTCATAGTAGTTTCAATCTTTTTAAAATCGTGGTTGAAAGATCATGGAGATAGCTCCGGCCAATTGCTACAAAGAAGGATTTGATTAGTGTGTATCATGGCGCTCTTGTTAGCGGTTTTGTAAACATTTCAGTCTACTTTAACAAATTAGTGAATGATTTTTAAACCGCTCGATAGATTTTTTTAAAAAAAGTGATTCTTCTCGTAATTTAAACTGAGAATTAGTCAGCCACTTCTTCACTTTCAGACCCATTGCGGATGCTATCTGCCATACACTGTTCTACGAGAGGAGATGATTCTAGAAAGTTAGGCGGAAGTTTATTCTAATAAATTCACGAGTGGAAATAGCCCATTGCAGTACAGTGCCCAACAATAAAAAAAATCAGCATATGATACCTTTCCCTTATAACCGTGCAGAAACTCGTCACGCTAGGCAGCCACTATCTCGTGTCAATGTAACTGGATTATTACGCCGACTTCAGGTTAAAATAGCAAATATTCATCTCTTCAAAATAATAATAAAAACATGCAGACGTCTTTAGTAACTGGCTTTGCCCAAATTTTCTCGTGCTGCCCAAAAAATCTGAGTTGCCCAAAATTTGGGGGGGCTGCAGCCCCCCTCGCCCCCCCGGCCCGTACGCCTATGTTGAAAGCTCCTCTTGATAATAATCTTGCCTTTATTGCCACAGCTTGTTGTGAACAGCAAGGTTTAACACAAGAGCTTAAATTAACAAGTATCGGTTCCCCTGGCTTTCCATCCTCAATTTGCCCCTCGTCATTACGGGTAATGTGTAGAGTATCTTCCTTTCCCGAGTTTGAAAATCGACTCTCTCGACTGCCAGTGCTTTCCTTGGACGCCTCCCTGTTGAAACGTACATTACAAGTATGCGCAATGAATCTTAGTTTCCAAGTTTCATCCCTAGTCTGTGGAGGCCCTTAGATTTTATTTTTCATATCGGTCGTCCCAACCAGCCGACACGCAGGAACAACAGCCGAAGAGAACGAAGTTCGAGTACTACTTACAAACGTCAATTCCATTTGGCAATTGTAACGTTTGTTTTATTTTTATTTTTTTATACAGTTCAGCAGTAGTTATTGCCAGCACCTCATAAACGTCGAGGCAAATGACAACCTTGTGAAAGGAAGAAAAGTAAAAGTCAGGGAAATTGAAACTTACGAAAAACATAACCATAGACAATGCAAGGATATTGAAAAAAACTATTTTTGTCATCCTCAACCTACGCAGGCTGAGCTGGACTTGAGAATAGCTTATGTAATTGTGGCTTACAAAGGTGCTGGACTTATAGAGAATCTTCTAAGGGCAATTTATATGCCTCACAATGTCTACTGTTTACATCTTGATAAGAAGTCCACGGCGAACTTCAAACGTGCCGTTCATTCCTTTACTGACTGTTTGCCAAACGTTTTCGTAACAAAGAAATCGATAGATGTTGTTTGGGGACACGTGTCCGTTTTGCAAGCAGAGTTGAACTGCATGGAAGATCTTTTCCACAGCGATGTACCGTGGAAGTATTTAATCACGTTGGTAGCACAAGATTACCCCCTTTATGACAACAAGGGCATCGTTGAGGGGCTGAAAAAACTCAACGGACTGAACAACATAGAGAGTTATCCTATGCCAAAGCAATTTGCCTATCGCGCGAACACAATCTGGACTCTTACAGAAACAGGGAAAGGGAAAGAACACGATGGTTACAGAATGGATTGTACTTGGAAACCAAAGGCCCCCCCTCCTCATAACATCACTATAATGAAAGGATGGAACCATATTGCAGCAACAAGGAAATTTGTGGAGTTTGTCTTGAACGATAAAATAGCCACCGACTTTTATCAATGGTTATCCGATATTTATATCCCGGATGAAGTGTTTTTCTCTTCTTTGCAGCGTCATCCGGGAACCCCTGGCGGTTACCATGACAACGACAATCCTGAGTGGATAATGCGCGCGTTCGGGTGGGTTGCTAATGGGGATAATCGACAGTGTTTCGGTAGCTGGATTAGAGAAAATTGCTGGCTTTCTACTCGTGATCTTCGCTGGATTTTGGCGGAGAAAAATAGGAACAAGCTTTTTACTCAAAAGATTCCATATGAATACGAAGAAAATTTAGTAGAGTGTTTATCTGCAGCCGTTCAAGGGAGGGAATACCCATCTGACTCTACCCAGAACTCTGCTACAGCCGTTTCTTAGCGCTCATCGCCGGAAAAGTCGCTGCAAGGGTTCAAAGACTAACCTCATACACGCAAATTTAAATAAAAAGTTAAAAAACAGTAAAAAACAAATAAAAGATGTATCAAAAGTAGGTTGAGTTTGATCGTCCGGGTCAACGTAGTCCTGAATGGGACTGTTGTTGTTGACAGTGACTGACGTTTCGACAACCTGTGCGGTAGTCATCTTCAGAGTCAAAGTGAGTCGTATCACGTCAGTTGATGGTATTATACTCTGGTTGTTGATCTGATTGGTAAATTACGTCGCGATGTTATTGGTCGTCTGTCAGTTAAGCCGTGATGTGGGTGGCTATGAAGGCTCGTAATCAGTAACTGGTGCGTTTCGATCTGTCTATTGTCACAGTTAAACAGTCGTCTATTGTTAGTCAAATTGTCAGTTCTCCAGTCGTTCTCTCGTACTTAGTTTTACTTGATCTCGTCATTAAGTCGTTTGTACGGCACTGGTAACTGTTGGCTACGATTCAGTGGCGTTTGTTCTAAGTTAGTAAACCAGCTTTCTAAAGTAAGACGTTGATAGTAGTCTGTAGAATACGTTATACATGTCGCAGAGTCCCAGTCAATTTGATGTTTCGTCTTTAAATGGTGCTCAGCAATGTGATTGTTGACGTCATCATTCCTCGTCTTTCGTTTGTGTTCGGTCAGTCGCGTGCTTAGGTTTCTGCCGGTTTCACCAATGTAAGAAGCCTGGCAGTCGCAGCATTTGATCATGTATACTGCTCCCTGTCTGTCCGCCTCCGGTTTGTCTTTGTCCTTAACATTAGTAAGCAGTCGCCGTAAAGTGGTTATCGTTTGTCTGCAACACGTATATTGTAAGGTTGTAATATACGTCTTCAGAGGTGCCTCTGATGTACGGTACAGTCGCTGTCGTAACAGGGCCAGAGTTGGTCTGAGTGTTGGAACTGACTGACAACTTGGAACTGACAGACGACCAATAACATCGCGACGTAATTGACCAATCAGATCAATAACCGGAGTATAATACCATCAACTGACGTGATACAAATCACTTTGACTCTGAAGATGACTACCGCACTGGTTGTCGGAACGTCAGTCACTGTCAACAACAACAGTCCTATTCAGGACTACGTTCACCCGGACGATCACAAAACTCAACCTAGTTTTGAAATGACTCCTGGGTTCAAACCTTTCACACTAAAAAATGTATGTAATAGTAAATTAAAAGTAACGTGTAACGGTATTTATTTTTCGTTAAAGATGATAAAATGTACAATTTGTTTACTTTTGATACACTAAAAGAAATAAACGTTGCAAAACAACTGCAGAAAAGTATAATAATTTTTAGTAAAATCCAACTAGTGGTCTATTATCAATGCTGCGTTCTGATTGGTTGAGCTACTACTAGGCTATATGTTATAGCCCACTAGTAGCGAAAAGCGCGGGCTTTTTGGCGGCAAAAAAGGATTAAAGTCTAGCTTTAACTAGCTAAAGTTTTTTTATTCTCGATATTTTTGACCAACTAGTTCGATTTTACTAAAACAATTATTCCTCTCGCCTTCATGGCCTCTGAGTCAAAAGCCCATTCGGCCGACAGAGCCCATTCGGGCTTGAGGAATAATTGTTAAATATGATCTGAAGGGATTAGTAGCGTCCTGACCAAGGTCCCGTTCATACGTTTTGGTGTTTTGTCAACGGTATTTTTTGCGGATTCGCCCAAGTATTCGTTAAAACGTTCTTCGAAAACGCAGCCTTTTAAAAACACTCTACAGACTGTAAACTTTAAGAAATGCAGTTTTCCTGACATCATGTGGACTAGTGAAAAAGGAAACCCTGAAAACGATGACCGATCGATATCTGATTTTGCGCGGAATAGGAATGCCACTTTAAAGTTAGAAAAAAAAGAGGGTTAAATTTTCGTTTCGGGTAAAATGTTGAAGCTTGTCCCGAAACCGTACGCACAAGCTTTTTCATCCCAAGTATTTCAAGAACGGACCTCTGAAGCCTGGTTACAGAGGTAGTATGGACGGGACCTGAGAGTTTGAACCATTCTTCCCCCTTTTCGTCAGTGTATTAATAATGTCCATTAAATCTACATTTTGTCACGGTTAAAAAATTGCATCTTCACCGAAAAGTCTAAAAAATATTAATATACAGTGTAGCTGTATTTATCGCTTCAATCACTATTCTCTTCTTCAGCTATCCTCCATGGAAGACTGCGAATTCCCAGTTCTCCATGATGGTTTCTCACCCCTCGAGGTAATCCTCGGCACGAGGTTATATTCAAGTGATTTAGACTGGGACAGCCATTAATAACATTCCTGTAACGAATGAAAATGCACATGTCGGAAAGGCTGTCGCAAAAATACTTGAGTATTTCAAGTAGTTTTAACCCTTTTGTTCTCAAGTTTCTGGGAAGGAAAAGGCCGCTAAAAATACTACCAACAAAGAATTTACTTCTTGGCATCGATCTTAATAGTATGATGTCAAAATTGACCTAGACTGTTTGGGGATATATTTTCCTTGAAGCCACCACGCATTCGGTACCAAAAAAACCAAAAATCGTATTTTGGAAATTTTTAACATGTAAAAACTTGACAAACATACAATGCTGTCAACTCCCGGAAAATCCGGGAGACTCCAGATTTTGGAGGGTATCTTCCGGTCTCCAGATTAGAGTATGAAATCTTCCGGATAATCGCCGACGTTTGCCATTTCTTCAGTAGACTCGAATTTGTTTGAGCTATTGTAATGTTAACACCGAACGTTTCCTCGTAAACGGCTCCGGTATGCCATGATAATAATGTGATTGGTGGGAAGTAAACCAATCAGGTCATAGGTTACAAGGCAAAAACATCTTTTTCGCGCGTTTTGTGTCATCGCAAATTCGTGACGATCGGAGAGTATTTTAAGCACAAATGACGTCACGTGCCGTGCGTTACCACGTCATCTACCATCGCTCCCCTATCAATTCTCAATATTTGAATATGTCGGGGGTTGACGGCCCTGAAAATATCTCTCAAAATAGTTGCTTATAATCACTGCATGACTACTTTAAAACAGCAACATATATCAAAGCCCAGGAGTATAAAAGATCGATCCAATGTCATATCAGCAGAATAAACAGCGTTAAAACTATGAAAGAATGGCTAAAACCTTTGACCGGTTGATACAAAATGGCGCTATTTGCATATGTTTCTTTGTAAATGACAACATTTTCGTCGAGTTACCGTTCAAGCCTAAAAATCCAGCAACATTCCTCGACAGTACCACACACATAAGTTGAAATGTTTGAATGCTCAGCCTCGTAGTTCGCTGCAGAACTAATCGAAAAACGCGACCATTCCTGAGAAAATCCCCATAAATATAACCGAAGCTGAAAGATCTTCGTCTTCTGTCGCCATTATTTGACTTCGCGTGCCGCTGAGGTCGTTAAAATATAGAAAATTTGACCAAAATTGATCATGCAGACAGCAAATTGTCGCCCATGTTGTTTTCTTTCTTGATCGAGTCACCACAGGCTACCCAAAACCCAAGACTCGTGCAAATGCACGCTGACCATTTTTCTGCGGACCCCTTCCGATCGGACCAATTCGTACGATTGCGAACGATTAAACAAGAGATGGAGTGTTGCATCCGATATCAAAACACCGAGAAGTGTAATATATCAGACGCGAGAAGTTTCTTTATGTGGTATCCAGACAACAAGAAGAAACATATCAAACACGATAAGGAGTGTTTCATTTGATATCCAAACACGAGAAGGACTGTTTTATCTGATATCTAACACTGAGAAGCAATATATCAAACACGAGAAGGAGTGTTTTATCTGATATCTAACACTGAGAAGCAATATATCAAACACGAGAAGGAGTGTTTTATCTGATATCCAAACTTGCAGAAGTAATGTCTCAAACACGAGAGGAAGTGTTTCATTTGATATCCAAACACCTCACCAAGAAGTGATATATCAAACACGAGAAGGAGTGTTTTATCTGATATCCAAACGTCGAGAAGTAATATATCAAACACGAAAGGAAGTGTTTCATTTGATATTCAAACACCGAGAAGTAATATATCAAACACGAGGAGTGTTTTATCTGATATACAAACATTGAGAAGTAATATATCAAACACGAGGAGTGTTTTATCTGATATACAAACATTGAGAAGTAATATATCAAACACGAAAGGAATTGTTTCATTTGATATCCAAACACCGAAAAGTAATATATCAAACACGAAAAGGAGTGTTTCACCGGATATCCAAACATCAAGGAGAAATACAGTGGTACCTCGATTTAACGAAGTGCCAGGGGACTGGGGAAATTTGTTCGTTATATCGAAGGTTCGTTTAAGGAATTTTCGGAAAAACTAGCAAAATGCTCGTTATATTGAGGTATAGTCAATAATTAATTTACTACACAGAACATTTCCCCAATTCCGGATCTGAAAAATTACTGTAATAACATTTCAGTACTGAGCTATAGAAAGAACAGGCAAACAAAACTGTTTACAACTACTGTACTGGTCCTTTTGGCATTCATCTTTATCGCATGCAGACATTTATTCGTTATATCGAGGTATATTTTACGTTTGCGCTTGTGGATTGTGTTTGTTTTTTACGTTAAATCGAGGTTCTACTGTATATTAAACACGAGAAGGAGTGTTTTATCTGATATCCAAACATCAAGATATAATATATCAAACAAGAGGAGTGTTCTATGTGATATCCAAACACCGAGAAGTAATGTATCGAACACGAGAAGGCGTGCTTCACATTTATAAGTCAAACACGAGAAAGAGTGTTACATCCGACAACCAAACACCGAGAGGCGATACACCGAACACGGGGAGAGGTTCACCCGATATCGAAACGCCGAAAGGCAATACCTTAAACACGATCCTCTGGCAAGACAGCGAGACGAGGATTAAATAACAAACTTTACATTTTGATTGTTCGATACGCATAGCTGATTATTTCGCTTTCTAACCCGCCTCTTAATACCTGAGCTTGGTTCCCGAATGGTCGACAGGCGCTGACCCGAGATTAAAACTTTTGTCTACGATTGTATTTGCTTTGCTATGGAATGTTTAGAGAATCATCTTCAGCGGGAACCCATAGCCCGGTGTAGGCAACTCCCATACTAGGCCTTAGTCACGGCGTTTTCACGGATCGGTTCAATTTTAGACACATTTAAGAGCACTTTTTCCCGCGAAAGCGGAATGTCTGCTCCGTCTATCAGCGCATTCGAAGTATAAGATATCAAAAAATAAAACTTAACGTCATGAAACGATAAAACAAATATCATTTTTAGGTCTCTCGGTTTTGCTTCCTAGTGTGTGTGGGACTTAAGATATATATACTTTAGAAATTCAAGCCAAAACCGTTCTAAAAATAAATTAGTCGGTTAAAACGCCGTAACACAAAAGTACATGGAAGTTCCTTCCGGCTTATGGGCTCCTGTTTTGAGTTAACAGTAATTAAAAGTCGAGAATTTAAAAGATCTCGCTCACCTCACACCATCTGAAGTTATAATCGTGTTGCTCAGATTTAACGACTTCAACTTTTGCATCCCGAAATTACTCAATAACTTCATGCATTCGTCGTCAACACCTCTATTAGAGGAAAGATCTAAACGTTCCAAACAATGATGCCACTGAAATATAAAAATACTGACGTTACATATAAAGCATAGTTGTGTACGTAATAAAATAGATTTTATATTTTTATAATATTACTATTAAAAATACGTTGATGTTGTCTTTCAGCAGCTTGATTGAAAGTAAAAATATTGTTCAATTAAGGCCTTGAACTGCTGTTTTTAAAAATGAACTTGGCATCCCAGCTTTCCCCGATCAACAACATCATCAGGAATGGGAAAATATTCCGGGAGGAGCTACAATGTATATATTAAACTTTCAATCAACTAAAAAAGGACTACCCTTGGTTGATTCTTGGTCACGTGGCCTTACCTAGATTCATATGAATCCCCATCGTGTAAAAATCGAGAAGAAAACTGGGCCGAGTTAACTTGCGCAAAAAGACTTCTGGGAATGTTACCGAGAACAGGGGGAAAAAATGCCATAGGGGACCTAAAGATCCGACGACGGTGATGACAATGAGAACATCAAAAAAGCAATAGGTTTAATAACCAAAACGTGGTTCGTACAACTTTCAAGGACTTTTCCAAGGATTTTTCAAGGATAAATTACAATTTTTAGGGACTATGATTTATTTCATAAATCGGCATTCTCTCTAATCCTCTTTGATTACCCTATTGGCTAAAACACGTCAGAGACTTTGCGAAATGACTGGGTATGACTTGCAATTGCATCTGAGGTATAGAAACAGCATTTGAAAAATAGAAACAGAAATAAAATATTGTTAATGCACAAAAATGTTTTTACGTTAGCCGAGAGTTTTACAGGTTTTTATACCGAGGATGAGCCAAATTTTCCAAGGCAAAATAATCTAATTTTACAGAAAAAGGTGTCTGGCGTAACAAGGTTGTGAATTTCAAAGACTTTTTAAGACCTAATAAAGAAATCCAGTACTTTTCAAGGACGTAAACCGAATTCAAGGACTAATTTTCAAAGTTATCCCGGAAGAGAAACTGCAGCTAAAGGGGAAAAAGATGCAGATGATATAAGGAAAGTAATACGTAAATCATTCATTCAGTGGTTTTGAGAATTAAATTTCTGTTCTTATTAGTATCGAGTGGACTATTTTGATTCGCTCTGGGTTATTCTTTTGTTGCTGTTGAAGTGAAAGTCTAGAAATATATGTTAGGTCCCTGAGGAAACCAGTTGGCTATATGTTTTCCTTCGATCTGACATTAAGTGTATATTGTTCTTATGCTAACTAGTATAGCATAATCTCCATACGAAAAAGAAAGAGGTTTGTATCAAAGTAAGGTCAATCCAGCCTCATGTTCAGACAAAGGTCAGGATACTAAGCCCACAACTGTAAAATAGTCGATTCAACTTAGGAAGGTTCACCTACATTTGAAAAAGTTAGTGACTTGAAGTAATCGCGATGAAGATTGTAAGAACGCGAATTCACTCTTTCAGTGACGTTTTCGCTGCCGTCGCCGTCCTCGGATCTTAAGGTCCTTAAAGCAAGGTGTTCACTAGTACATAAGCATAAGCATAAGGACATACGCATGCGCACAATGGCATATTTGACTCAATTCTCGATACCAGCTCTCCTAAACCCGATGATAAACAAGATGACGGACGCTTCGTCCGCCATATTACTTATGATATGTTCGCATAAAGTCTGGGTCAAAGTGACCTACGATTGGTCCACGGCCTTGTGCTTATGCTTGTGCTCATGTCGACCCGTTTTCACTAGTCAAAGCTACGACATAAGCTTTAGCACAAGCACAAGGAGAACGACCTTGGCTGTTTTTCTTGTGCTTATGCTTATGCTTATGTCGACCCAGTTTTCATTTGCGTACACATGTGCTTGTGCTTATACTCATGCTTATGCTTAGGCGCTAGTGAAAACCAGGCTTAATAGACCTTTGTCACGCGGCAGCCATTTTGTCCCGAGAGATTAAAAAAGCTTTGTATTTGCAGGGCTAGCCTCATTTTCACTGCGAGGCTAACCGTGCAAAAGCAAAGCTTTTTTAATTTCCTGAGACTAAATGGCCGCCGCGTGACAAAGGACTATAGCTGACTGGCGCGTCCCCTATAATGATCCCAGAAGTCTTTGCAAAGCTAACTCGGCCCAGTGTAAAGTGACGAGAGAAGGCGGGAAAAAATACTGCCAGTTCTAACACAACAACACAAACATGGAGCCGCAAGCTAAAATAGAAACGATTTTTAAAGTTACTCAAGAAGCAGCTGGTAAACGAAAAAGATGCAGATATCAATAAGGAATCAATAAGAAATCACTCGTTCGGTTTTTAGAATTACATGTGTGATCTTATAAGTACTGAAATTGTTTTGATTCGCTTCTTATTCTTCACTTCACGAGGTCCAGACTCGTACCCAGTCGCCACTTATATTTCTCGCAAAGGAATATGGAAAGGCAATTTGACGCACGCAAAGGCGCTTGGGAAGGACGGAGGAAAAGTGACAACGCTTCGCGTTTTTCTTTGTTCCTTCCCTTGATGCACTGCGAAATCAGTACATCCTTCCCATCAATCACAGCGCATACAGTGAAGCGACTGCGTACAAGTCTAATTGAGGTCAGTAAACACCAGGAATCTCACGAATACAAAATTAACTGGTCTCCCGAGGGACAAGACATGAAGTGTATTAATTTTTTGTTACAGGAGAGAACAAAAGGAATTTGTCTTACCTTTTCAACAATAGCAGCGACTTTAGAATATGATGCATTGTTGTATATCAGAATTTTCAAAGGAAAATCTGGCAGATTCTAGAGACGTTAGAGTATTCGTTAGTCAGCAGTGGATGAAAGAGGATTTTCTACTAAGAGTTACACAGAGACTTTAAATGGAGCTCTGGAGTGGCTGATCTAGGGGAGATGCCTGGGGGGGCCCGGCCCCCTCTTATTTTTGGACCAACTGAGGCCCGAAGGGCCAAAAAAACGCTAACCCCCTCCCCCCCCGCCCTTTATCTCAGTGTCTGGATGACTGGGTCCATCCCCTTATCTAAAGGTCCGGATCCGCCTCTGATCTGATTGGTTGAAAATTTGTTTCACCCAATGAGAAGCTCTAATATCCGTTTTTTTTTCTCAGGCTACAGCTTGTACTCGAACCTTAAGAAACAATTCAACATTGGCTTGTTTTACTGAGATTAGGATGTGACATACCCGAAATCCCTCGGCAGTAATCAGATTGGGCCCTTCAAGAATCAACATTTGGAGATGTTTGGATGCCCACAGTATTCTACAAGGAAATAAGCATCATACAAAATGGGTAGAAATGCATTCCAGAGACAGCTATAAAGATATAATGTAAAGATACCCTTTAACCCTTTAAATCCTAATACCAAAATTGGGATTCTCATTTACTGTCCCTACACTTTTTCAACAGAAGTAGTGGGGAGGATGTTTTGAAATATCAGTTAGATTGCCCCAAGATTGCCAAGATTGTATCAATTCCCTTGAAAAGGATCTAATATCCAGATTTTTCAAACTTGGCACAATTACTAGTCTTGAATAAAGCATTAAAAAGCTACAACTAAAAGATAAGGTCACTGCAGGTGGTCACTTAAGAGAATCAAACCACAGGAGGTATCTTCCAAAAAGAGGTCCTTTTGGCAAAGAATTTAGTGCAAGCAATTTATAAGCTAAGTGTAGTTATATGCTGTCACATGATCTTTGTATACACTGAGACCGCAAAATGCATCAAGTGGTCGCTAACAAGAGGTGAAAAACAGTGACCACAAAACTGTGAGGCCAAAAAGTGGTCGCATTCGCTTACAAGAGGTGGTCATTTACAAGAGGTTCTAATTATAGGGCTGCGACTGGGAAAATTTTGATGTTTTGGATAAGTGGACACTTATGGGAGGTGGTTGCTTACGAGTTGCACATGGAGGTTTAAGGAATAATCACACTTAATTACCGGTAACAGGTTTTAACTCAGTGACAAGATGTCATTGCTATCTCACCTGTATAACAGCTGATCATTTCTACGATCAAGTCCATAATAATCACAAGAAAGGTCCACCACCTCAAGATCAGGAAAACCATTTGCTGACTGAAAGGAAATGAAGGAAAAGTTAGATCCAGAGAGCAAGATGAACTTCGTGCTAGGATAATGTGGTATAAAAGCCAAGATATTCCCTCAGCAAACATGAATATTTCATCATGTTCATATCCAGAAAAAAGGAAAAGTGCTGCGCTTGCACTAGTTTAACAACACTGACAGCGTTGCATGTCATATGGCTTTAACATTTAAGGATGAAAGGAGATAACAAGACAAAGCCGGTTTGAAACTCATATCTGCATGTCAAAACATACTATGGCCATTCACCACTTTAGGACAAGAAAGGGACTTCACTAGAGCTCACTGAGGTGAATTGTGTCCCACAGTTGTCTCTGGGATTGTTACTGGGGACGCGCCAGTCAGCTACTGAATGTTTTCCCCATCCCTAGAAACGGCGCAGAAGTCTTTGCAAAAGCTAACTCGGACCAGTTTCCTTCAAATTTCTAAAATGGTGAAGGGTGAGACTTGAGCATCAGCCAGTCCCAACACTGGCTCTCAAAAAATACTAACTTAGAGCATTTGGTCGAACTTTCAAAGTGTGCGTGTTTCTTGGGTTTCCTGAGTCTACTGGCTTCTATTCAACTGTACGTTGGTGGACCCCCTTGGCAATGTATGTACTCTACTATCCATAAACTATCAGTTTACTGTACCTTTTCATTGGTTTTTGGTATGGAGTTAAGTAACAGATTGGCCAACATAAGGCGTCTTAGTTTAGGACAGCCAGCCTGTAAAACACAAAGAAAGGATCAGTTATCATACAGTAAATTTCGGTGTGTGCCACCCGAAGGTTCTTAAGCTCTGAGTCTCAGTAATACACTTTTATGGCAAGCCCAAAAGTTGAAAAAAGATCCAGGTCCCAGATTTACACGTACATGTAGGTAAAGCTGATAACATAAAAGGAACACTAGCTGTTTGCATGGCCCAAGGCAATGGTGGTCGCATGAAAAGGGTATGAATACTAGCCACTTTGATACTTTTTGCTCAAGGCGAACTTCATTGAATTAAATCTGGTGGGTTGCTACTCTCCTTTGTAGCCAGGAGTCATGCAAACTCCCCGCCACCTTGCATGACTCCAGCCCGAGTGGCTGTGAAGGAGACTATTTGGTTGCAAGGTTAATGTTTGTAGTTGTTTGTCTGTTTTTTTCTTTTAACATGTTAATCTCAATAAGTAAACAAAATATAGCTGGGGAGTGCGGTTGTTTTTTGGCAAAAATCCCACCAGCTACACAGGCTCCTGAAAAATATATGAAACATAACTCTATCTAGCCTGTGTCCGGTTTCTCAGACCAACTTTTTGGGACCAAAATCGAATATTCAAATCAAAATCTTAAGAACAAGAGCATGTCTCCAAGCTAACAAACCAGTCCCTTTTACTGATAGTTTGATCATCATGTTATATGCAAAAATTACTGAAACCTCTATCTTGAATGTAAACAACAAAAACTTTCCAGACCCATGGATTTTCATGAAACGGTCCCCTATCCCTGTCCTTCCGCTCAGGACATGACTGAACAGTGTGACAGTTTCTATGGAAGATAAAAGACAGAAGCATACCTGCAGCTTTTCTATGTGAATTTTTCGAATGTTGGTACCACTAACATCAAGGTCTATCAAGTTTGGACAATTCTCCTGTAAAATAAATCAAAAAGAAAAATGAAACATTTTAATAACATTTTCCTTACCTAGAAAGCTGAATAAATACCTACATGTATGCAAGATAATTTTAATAGCATTTACACGTACAATTTGTCATGTCAAAGTGATTTAGTTTATTTACAAGTACATGTATGGTAAATCCAAGCCCCTGGAGGTCTTATTCATGTCTAGCATAAATCATTTGAGGGGGGAGGGGAGAGGCCTGAAAAGAGGGAGGCTTATTTAATTTAGCGAAGAAGGTGGTTTTAAATTTCCACTTTAGAATGTAAAGTGGGAAAGTTCAGGCACATGAAGTTAGAGGTTTTGCATTTGAATTTCCATTTCTATTTATAGATCAATTCAAATCAATCAATCAATCAAATTGGATCACCTACATGAAATGACACAGTCAAAATTAAAAGGTGAGAGGAAGAGGGGCTTATTTGAGAAGAGACTTAAATGAGGATAATTACATTAAAATACCTGAATAAGTGGAAGTATATGAGTGCCAGTAACACGACTGCAATTTGCTAACCACAGTTTCTCCAGCTGACTTCCTAATTGTTTAACAATATGTTTCAGACAATTGATGTCAATCTGCAACAATATAATTAAACATCATCGAGTGAGTGTTTCCAAAACAAAAAAAACATGAAGTGGCATGTATCACTTTGTTATGTGTATGCCAGTGGATCTAACATCCCAAATTTTAACTTGCTAACTCACTTCTCATTCTGAAGAAAATGAAACTTCAAGGCCAAATGACGCCACAGAGAGTCTTGGATTTACAATGTATTGCTTTTTTTCCATGTTTTGGTCTTTTAGAGTTCATGAGCCCAGCTTCCTGAACTGAGCTAGTAGATTAAGACAGTAAAACCAGACAAAGCAGTATATTAGTGGGCTTCCACTAGCTTTCATTGGCATTTTCAGTCATTTTATTTTAGGTTTTTTTGTACCATTGTCTTAAAATTTTCAGCAGGTAGAGTCTCTACCTCAGAATTTTTAGAAGTAAAGTCTCCAGCTAATTGATAGAAACACTTAAGTCTCAGGGTCTTGCAGTCTCGAATTTTAATACCATTCTATACCCCTATAGTTATGAGTGTCCCAGAAGTTCAGACAGTGGGAAACAGCTCACAATAGAGGAGATCAGAGTGGCGCAAAAAATGTAGAAAAGAGGAATTCATGGAGAGGAATGGTGCCTGGAAAGTGATTCTGACCAACTGCTAAACTATCATTTGTTTGCCTTTCATATGTTGTGGTTCGATTTTATCCCTGGTTTAATTTACATTTAACATAACAATGAGTTTAAAAATGAAAGGTTCAAATAGAATATTAAACCCAAGGATGAAAAAATGGTACCCCTTTCGGGCGAAGGCCATTAAAAAGACAAATAAGGAATGACCACACGGGGCAGAGGCATTTTACAAAATGCTGAAAGGCCACTGAAGGGCCAGGGCTGCTGAACACTAAATGATTTAAATAAAATGGTTAATATTATGGATAAACTGAATTTATCAAGTTCCACTTACATGTACCCACTGACATGTACATGCACCCCCAGTAGTGTTACAGAGGACATTACATGTACCATGACCATTCAACATTCTGCAAAATACCCTGACAGACCTACAGCATTAGAAAGAAGAGGTAAAAGGGCAGAATAGCAATTGTAATTTTTCTTACATTTGTAGATTTGACATCAATACTTGTTAAGTGGCAACATTTGGTGACAAGTGATGTGATACCCTGAGGAGTTAAGCTCTCACATTCAGAAAGCCCAATGGTTTGGAGTTCATTACAGTGCTGTCCTATAGCCTACGGTGAAAATCAATAATATGAGTGCATATAACAGTAAGCCCTTGAGTTAAAAAATATAGGATACCTTTTCTTTTCCTAATTCAACTGATTATACCGTTTTTCCCTAGTTCAACTGCATGTAATTTTCGTTTACATGTTACAGGTCAAATTTGATTTCAGGTTAAATTTCTTTAACCTAGATTCCAGATTATCAATTTTCCTTGTCTTCTAAGGTTAGAGGATGAAGGAAATTGAAAAACAATCTAGGTTAATCAAAATTTACCTGAAAGTAAATTGACCTGTAACATACATGTATCCATAGTACTAGCATTTCCGAAAAAAAATTACAACTTGACTTTAGAATGGTGCTGAAAAAATTCTGACAACTGTCAAACATTACCAAAGATTCTCCAAGATCAATATTGCAGTGATTTCCAAAGATTGCCAAATAGTAGTATGGAGTGACAAGCAGGGTGGCATTATTATTGATCGCACATATCTCGGCAAGATAAGCAATGTCACCTACTTCATCAATTTTCACATCTGTAGTTAGTAAATGAGACAATTTAATTGTCTTGTATTACAAGGGTTAGGTCAATGTTTTCAACCAGCAGGCATGTGCATAATGCCAGTGAGTTACATGTAGCGGCTACATGTATAAGTTGGCGCATGTGACTTAATTTGGCCAAGTATTAATAGATACATTAAAAGAGAAAACTTTTAATAATAACTTAAAAAAATTTAAAACACAGATGTTACCATACTTCTATTCCTTTATCTGTCAGTTTGCTCCAGCCACCAAGGAAAAGTTGCCTGACATATTTCAATCGTTCAGGTGCCAATTGTTGCAGAATTGCAGGTGAAGCTGAAATTTTCACAAATGAAGTTGACAAATTCACCGTCCTCCATAACCTTGGTTCTGATGCAACCCGCCTCCAATGGCGACAAACCCTTGACATCCTGACAATCATGAAAAAAAGAAAGACAAGTGTATTGTCCATGCAGAGCTTGAAACTTGGATTCCAGCTGGTCCTTTGGACAAGCAGGTCGCACATTTTTCTCGCCTGAAGCCACTTCTTGCTTGTCCTAGTTAATGATTTTGTTACAGGATGACTTGGTGCCTGGGCCTTAAAAGTGTCCACTGGTCAAGTAAGCTTTAAAAAATACTTACCCAGCAAGAAAATCTACTTGTTCCTGACTACTGGATGGAACTTTTTCCATCCCTGCTATACTATGAACTTAACAGATCAAAATTTAGATGAACCAAATTTTCTGGTACATATGCTTTAATAATAATTGCTACTGTAACTGGCAGCATTTCAGAGACTGGTAATTAGAATGAGAATTAGAAAAACAAACAAAACAAAACTGAGAGCATAATCAGTCAGTCTATATACATTAAAGGTCACATTTGCCACCCACAAAAATTCTTTAACGAAAACATCCCACTTCTCCTGAAACATAAAGCTATACACATGACTATTTTGGCCTTGCTGTATAAGGCAAATTTCTTTTTTTAAATTTTACAGTGAACTGTAATCTAATTTAAGGACATGGTATAAAATTGATAGGGCTTGAAAAAGTCCGGATTGTTATACATTCCTGGGAAACTGCCCACCTACCCAGTGTTGGATCCAGGGGAGAGGCCCGGGGGGCCAGCCCTCCCCCGCCGCTTATTTTTAGAGCAAACTGAGGCCCAAAGGGCCAAAAAATTTTGGGGGGGAGACTGTGCCAAACCCCCCCTCCACCGCCCCCTTATCTAAAGGTGTTGATAACTGCCCCCCACCCCCGCATTATCTCAAGGTCTGGATCCGGCACTGCTACTCCTCCCTTAAGCCAACATTAACACTTACTTCTGACTTAGGGCAAAGTGTTGGCTTAGGGGAGGGGTAAGTGGGCAGTTTCCTTGAAACATATAATGATCCAGAAGTCCCAACCAGTAGTCCAGGACAGGTAGATTTTCTTGCTGGGTAAGTAAATTTAAAGCTTGCTTGGCCAATGGGCAAGAGTCCAAGCAAGTCATCCTCTAACAAGATAATTAACTAAAGACAAGTTAGCAGTGGCCCAAACCAAGCAAAATGTGAGAGCTGCTTGCTCAAAGGACAAGCTGAAATTCAATTTTCTTTTGAGCCATGTGAATGAAAGGTGTATTTGAGTAAAAAAACCTGGTCAGCATTTCCTTAGCTGAATCCCCAAATTTGCAACAGGGAAGAAGCCAAACTTTAGTGAAAGAATGTTTTACAAAGTAATTTGGCAATAAAAATTAAATAATTCAGTAGAAAGGAAAATTTTCATGTTACAGTCATTATATAATGTTGATGCCTGAACTCTCACCTACACAAGAAAGGTATTTTGGATCCTATAATTTGCTTCATTGCATGCTGAAATATTATCATAAGGAGTTCTACTGGAATAAGCTCTGACCAGCCTTTCAATAGCTGCACTGGGGGATTAGACTTAGATTCAGTTTCTTTTTTGTCTTTCTTCTTAGGATCTGCTTTCTTCCTTTTTTCAAGCTTTCTCTTTTTTGACGCATGTTCTTCTTCTTTATTTCTCTTGGTTTTCACTAAAACGGAAAAAACATTATTGTGAATATTCCAGCATTCAATTAAGCTCTCACACAGATGTTCTTTTGGCTTATAGTCACACAATCCTCCCTGGCGAATGCCTGCTGAAATGAGTGGTTACTAACATACAGACTGTATACCAATCACAGCACACTACTTCCACATCTGGGAAGTGCATTTTAAACCTTGAAAAATTTAGGGCAAGAACTGTGGCATGCAACTCCAGAAAAGGTCAGCAAAGTCAGAGAAGGTCCTCTACCAGGAAAAGCCCCTGTAGATTTCTTAGACCAAACTCGCCGATGAGAATAACATGCCTCTGTCCTGGAGACTACCCCCAACATCTCATAAACAATAATTACATTAATTGAGGTTAAATTTACTGACGGAAGTCAGCTTTACTACAACAAAGCATATTTCTCTTACATATACCACGTCACACCCTGCCTTTGCCTAACCTTAAGAACATCTCAATGAGAAAATGGTACCTAATTCAAATCCAACCTCCAACATCCTTCAAATTCAATACTTCATGTACACAAAGAGCTTCCATGCACTAATATCTTAAATAAAAAGGAATAGTCCATATCACACTATGTGAGCTTGTGACTCCTGTTTGGCCTGTCAGCACTTAATTTTCTACTCATGATTGGCCTTTTATCAAACAATCACTAAGTGCCGAACAAAGGGAAAGGAATTTAACTGCTTATTTCAGCAGACATTGATGAAGCCCTAAGAACATCTGCATAGGAGGCTAAAATCCAAGAGCCAGGTGTAAAAAAACATTAAATCAAATCAAGAAGGGTTTTGCCATACATGTTGATGAATGGGTTATTTAAACCTTGTCATCCTGGCCTGCAGCAACAGTTAGATCATACTTAGTGCCACCTAAACCCCCCAGGGGGGGGGATCCCTAGGGCTTCCAACAAAACCCAATAAAATCCCTGGACCAAATATTAACGCCCGAAAAAATCGAATTCCAAAGCCTTAAAATTTTCCAGAAAGCAAAACAAGTTTGGTGGTAAATGCAGAACTACATGTAAGTGCTGGCACTACCACCAATATTCAGATTCTCTTGAATACCCCCCAAAAAACCCTCTTAAATCAAGCCACGAAAAAAATACCTGCCAAATTCTCCTATCTAAAAAAATAAGGGAAACAAAAATTTCAAACCCCAAATTTTTCAAACCTAAAAACCTTAACCCATTTGAAATCCGGCATTCCCTCCCCCCCACCCCCGCTTCTCCTGGGCCTAAATGGAAGCTATTCAACCATGAAATAAGACGGAGTAGTAGATGTATAGGATGCGAATTCAATACGGCAAACTTTTAATACATTGATGATGCGCAAATGCATGCATGAAAGGATTAGGGAACACGACACGTACACACAGCATACACTCAGTCACACCTAATATATAAGTCAACATAGCAGCTAAATAGCTTAATATTGGTACCACAATGGACTGCAAGGAGCGGCTTCTGACACTCAAATATTCAGAATCTTGCACCTGCACCTGCACCTATCCTGTAGTCATGGGGACTGTTGGGGCACCCTGAACCTAGCAATCCTTTCCCTCCATTTGATTTTGTCTTCAGATTCTGTTAGGGTGTCACAACAAAACTTCAACCCTTTCCAATCAAAGATGTGACTTTCGCAACCCTTCTTCTGTCAGCCTCTTCTTCTCCCTCCATGCACTGTTCCTTGTAAAATTGTCTTGGCAAGCCCTGCTGGTCTTGAAACATGCCCAAACCACTTTAACTTGCATTTCTTTATCACTCATGCTTGTTTAATGATAAAAATGCTTTCAGGAAAATAATTTTTTTCCAGAACAGCACATTTTTTTTCACAACAGTTGCCATCGTGTGTCATTGCTACGAAGGACTTGCTGTTTTGCAAATGTTTGCGCTATAATTCTGCTTTGAGCAAGAAAAGATGGTGACAAACTTTTCGAAGAAACGGTACACAAATGTGATAAAGAAAAGAGAAGAAACAGAGATGAAAAATAGCATTTGGAACTTAAAAAATGCCTTAACTAGCACAAATCCTCACACAGTCAAGCTGTACAAGGCAAGTATGTGTTTTGGTATATTTTCTTATCTGATCATTGTATAAAGAAAACAGATTCCCTGTTACCATGGGTCTGTTCAGTAATAGATCACAGAAGACGTCACAATGTGCAGCTCGTGTGTCACTTCCTTGTTTTCACTACATTTTGACGTCATCTGTGATCTATTACTGAACAGACGCACGGCAAAATGGAATCTATTTGTTAAATGGACACCATGCTCCTGTTAATGATGCCAAGCAGTTTCCTAAAGCATCTCATCTCAGTGGCCTGCAAATTCTTCTGGATGTCTGTTGTTATTGTCCAGGTTTCACAGGCGTACAACAGTCTTGAGATTATCAGGGAGTGCATAAGTCTGATCTTTGAGCTAAGAGAGATTATTATGCATAATCATTCCAGATGGTCTTCAGTCTTGCTAGTGCTGCTGTCTTCTGTGCAATTCTCGTAAGTACTTGTGGCTTGGAACCTTGATCCTGACGACTGTGCCCAGATACTTCAACCTGTCCCCTAATCAACCTCGTCCAATTTTTCACCAATGAAAAGACCATAACATTGAAATTTTTGTTTATTTGATGACTTAGTTGCTTGTTTTTATGTCTTCCTTTTAAGTTTGCACTTTTGTTCTTAATATTCTTCTCGGTAAGCTATTCAGAAATGAAACAAAATAACTAAAACTACTGTAAAAGTCCTCGATCGGATCGGTTCGTCACTTCTTGCGGTAGCTTGCGTGTTCTTGCGGCGCAACACCTTCTTGCGCCACTTCTTTCGCGTGCACTATTTTTCGGTTGTACTATAGTAAAATGCTTAAGACCTCGATCGGATAGGAGAAACTCAATTTAAAACTAACCATTACGTGATGTGCTTGCAGCGTTTGTTGATGTCTCGTCTTCTTCTGGAATGAAGTCTGGATCATCGCTTTCGTCTGAAGGCAATGGCTCGGCGTGTCTTCCAAACGCAAACACTTGTGTCCCAGCCCGTTTTCGCACTCCGAGGATGCCTTTTGATGCTTTATCTTTACGAGGCATTTGAATCAAACATCCGTTAAATCCTGTGTTTAGCTAGCTTTTTACAGGCTCAGTTCTTCGGAATCCTTGCCCTGCGCTGGGAATGGAGCACTGTTCATTTTCATTGTCCTGGCGTGCGCCATGTTGTTTACAACTAACGGCCGAAATGAGTTGTGGGTCAGATCGTTTGGACTGTGAGGAATAATCGGCTCCGGGAAATACTGAAAACGGGAATTCTGGATGGGATTCATATCATAAAAGTAAAGTGGCAACTATGAACACTAACGTGCAACCAAGAGCCATGTCCTATTATGGCTCTTGGTGCAACTTAATAGTAAAAAACCTTAAACAATTATTAATGGAGCCGAAACCAATTGTGGAATTGCACGCATTTTAGGCATCCTACTGATGAACAGTTGCGACGCGTAGATATATATATATTTTTAGCGACTAAGATGATTTGCAGTTTGTCTACTTTGAATTGATTCATACTTAGAATGTGCAATAAACAGCTCACATTATTCTTCAGTCTGACCTCAAATCTGACCGTTTCAAAATCGCGAAAGACTTTATTTTAAAAAATGAAGAAATGTCCAATTTTTGACCAAAACCATTTAATAACCCCTTTGGCAAAAAGCCGTTTTTCGACTTATTTGAATCGATGCTGTTATAGTCTTCAAAGGCTAGTTTTCTATCTAGAGGACTAAAAAACACTTCTTTTCGGTTTATACAAATGTTAGAAAGGCTAGTTTTCTATCTAGAAGGCCACAAAACACTTCTTTTCGGTTCATTTTCCTTGTAACCAAAAAATGAAAGAAATTTAAATTTTTTTGACCAAAACCATGGACTAACTCCTTTCTGAAAATACAGATTTTTCGCGAACCAAGAACAAGAAGTCCAAAGACTACTGCAAAGCTGATTTAAAACAACGTATATTGTTTTTTATAACAATATTTCGGCTGGCCATACCAGCCTTCTTCAGGTTTACAGATGTTATAAAAAACAATATACGTTGTTTTAAATCAGCTTTGCAGTAGTCTTTGGACTTCTTGTTCTTGGTTCTTTATATTTTGGCTGATTTGATCTCTTTTCTAGAGATCCAACGTTTACAACTAGCAGGATCTTCGTCCACGGTTTTTGCATTTAATTTAATCCTAGATTTTTCGCGGACTTTTTTGATTTTTAAAACCGATGTTTTTATAGTCTACAAAGACTCTTTTCTATGCAGAAGGTCACAAGACACCTTGTTTTGGCCTATTTTGCTTAAAACCAAAAAATGAAGAAATCTCCCATTTTTGACCTAAATTTTAATTTTTTAGCCAAAATCATGTGTTATCCCCTTTACAAAAATCCAAATTTGCAACAATATAAAACAAGTTATGAAAAAATTTTAATTGTTTTGGCCAAAATCGTGGTTTAACCAGTTTGGAAAAGTTCAATTTATCGACTGTAAAGTTTGATCCTTTTTTAGTCTAAAAGGACTTTTCGTCTATCCAGAAGATCACCAAACACTTTTTATGACATTTTAAAGACTAAGACAAACTATGATTTTTGTGGCCTAAATCATGGGTTAACCCCTTGGGAAAAATCCCATTTTTTTTTTCAATTTTCTTGTGTCAGCCTCTTTGCAAAAAACTAATTTATCGACTATATAATAAGGTCTATATTTGTTTTGGTCTAAAAAGGCTTTTTGTCCATCTAGAACATCAACAAACACTATTTTATGACATTTTATATTAAAGCTGTGAGCGAAAAACAAGCTATGATAAAATTACGATTCTTTTGCCAAAATCATGGGAAAACCCGTTTCGAAAAATCCAGTTTTGCAGCTTTATGAGATATATGTCTTTAATAGTCTGGAAACGTTTTTTTCTCTATCCAGAACATCACCAGACACTATTTTAGTACATTTTAAAACCAAACAGAGTATGAATGGTGAAACTGAAATTTTTTCAAACGGGTTGACCCATGATTTTGGCCAAAAGATGTAAACTTTCTTAGTTTTTTTTTAGCTGTAAAAGGCCAAAACATAATTTTTGTTCAAATTTCGACATTAAGGAAAACGCTTTTCAGACCATAAAAATATCGATCTTTTATAGTCTCGAAATTGCTCGAAATTAGGGTTTTCCAATAGAATTAACTCATGATTTTAACCACAACAATTTTTCATAGTTTGTTTTTGGCTTTTGAAAGGCCATGATATAATGTTTGGTTATGCTTTAGGTAGAAATCAAGCCTTTCTATATCATTATAGCTAGACTATTTAATATTCGTTATAGATAGCATTTTAAATTCTTTCATTTATAATTTGTTTTTGACTTCAAGCCTTTCTAGAGTAGAAGAATGTTGCTCATCAAGTCTCGAATTTGGATTTTTTTTTTCATGGTGACAAGTCTCACATTGATCATAGTCACAAAGAGAGCATGTTTTTGTGGTTTATTGATGTCCCTGGTACTTGAAGCTGAAAATTATAAGCTATAAGAAAATGACTGATATTTTCTCATTATCCTACGAAAGACCGATAATTTTCTTATGTTCATCATGTTGCCTCGGATTTGCTACATTTTGTTTAACACTGCGATCGTTGTTAAAAGTAACGCTACTGGGAACCACGCCTAAAAGTCTAACTTGATGTAAAATGGAAACATGATCCGAAACAAGAAAATGTTTAATCAGTCTCTTTAATATATAATTTGAAAAAGCACAAAAATAATTGCAACTTTATATTAATCACATTTAGGTTCACGTAACAAAAATTCTTGAAGTAGTCACTCAACGCTCCAAAGCTTCAGCCTGAGTTGTACCTGTTGAACATAAAAAAAGAAAGAAAATAAGTCATTTAAAAAATACTTTCAGTAACGTACGTATAAAGAAAGTATTGTATTCTAGTGACCCAGATAGACTAGCAACTGCCCTTCCTTAGCCTTAAGTAATTTCACAGTTAAGTGTGCTTTTAGCACCATTTTAAGCAAAGTAATTTTCCCCGGAAAAAGGAAGCACCGCTTTGTACTCTATGTGTGTGAGAAGAAGTGAAGCAGATGTCGTCAAAATATCAGAGAGACTATTTTCTGGTCTCCATTAAATCAATAACGCATTTTTAAGATCTATTTGATAGTTAAAATCCACCGGCGAATAGATCTCAAATAAACTGGCCTGTAAAAACGTTGTTGCATGGATCTGGAAGAAACCCTGTTGCTCCTAGTATTTCCATAATATAAATAATATAAGTGGAGAGGGCTGAAGGAGTTTCGGAAAAATCACAAAAGGAATGATACAGATTCCTCGAGAGGAAATGATAAACAATTGAAAATTAAAAAAACAATTTTTTTAAACTAATATGTAATGGTGTCAGCGACGATTATGGTGGGAAAGACGGTGACGATGAAAATGACGATAAGGGTAAGGCAAGAGCCATTATGGCTCTTGGGTAAGGATAGTGGTGGTGATAATGATGACGATGATAATGATATCGATGAAGGTGATGATAAAGATAATAGGGAGCTTAAGCAACTACTACTACGACGACGACGATGACGACAACTTCATAAAACAATAGGTTTAATGATCAAAACAACAGCTCTGCTCGTGCATCACGCTTTTTAGTACATTTCTCTGACGTCCACTGTACGACTACGACGTGAAACCTCCTAATTTGACGTTTTATGGAAGACGTCGACATACGACGACGAATTTTCCTTCCCCTTTTTGAACTTGCATAAAATCCTTAAGAATTCAGCTCCAGGAAAAGTCGCATGCATTTCACACATCGCGGGGGTCCAAATAGACGCGATTAAGTTTGATAGAGCGCAAATTCGTTTTTTTAGCGACGTTTTCACTGCCGCCGTCGTTGTCGTTGCTTAAGGTCCCTAATGAAGATAATGATGATAATAATGATGACGATGATGACGAAGATAACAATACAAATAACGTTAATGATAGAGGTAGTTATGATGATGATGATGATGAAAATGACGATAATACTGATAATGATAATGATGGTAATGATGTTAATGACAGGATGGTGACGATTTGAAATAAGAGTGAACAAACCTGCTAGATGGACTTGGTCCCATAAAAAATGACGGTTGAGCTTGATGAGGGTCAAAGAAGGCAGAGCTCACTGCGTAAATAAGAATATTTATTAACTTTTTGTCCGTAAGCTGTGACACTTATGGCTTTAATATTTTGAATGATGCATGCAAATAAACAGCATGTCTTTTATAAGTGCAAACTTTACTCTGTTCCTAACTTAGTTACATAGATGTGCAAGAAATCATAAACATACAAAATTAAAACTCCGATCGATCTACTAGTCACGGATACACTCCATTGGCATTACCAGTTTTCTATTCGTGAGAGATATAGTGAAAAGTTTGGAGTCTAACAATTGGATCCATTTATCAACAATAAAGTCCTCTGGAGTCACAAACGTTCAATTTGTGAGAGACTACTTATTCTGATCTAGCTAAATACCTCTTGGCTGAAGATTCTGGGGATGATTTAACACAGATGGATTATTGTGATGTTTGTCTCGACGTCGTGGTCTGACAGGGTGTGGTAGGACTGGAGCTGCTATGGGGACCACATCGTACTCAGGCGGGGCAATCATGGAGGCACTTGCTCTGTTCTGTAATCACAAAAGATTAATTTGGAGGATATAATAAGTAGGATCCGGTCGATATTGGCCGGGTGTTCGTTCGAAATTATTTTTCTTGAGAGTACTAAAATGAAAAAAAAAAAACCTTTTTTGTTATCATCTTGTCGTGGTAAATTTTCAGTTATTAAACAATTCGTTTATCATATTAAATTAGTAGCATGAATAGATACTCGGTTTATTGTTACGACAAACAACCGTTACCTGATCCTCGTGGAGGTGCAAAGACTTTTAGGCTGTTGTTTTGTTCGTTTTTTACGAAGAAAAGAAAAAATACCTTTGTTCTCGTGGCTGTAATGTCTTTCAATGTAGAAATTAGCATACTTTAAATAAAACTATTGCAGGATGCACAGCCAGTCAAACGGTATTGTTCTTTTTAAAAAATTGGTGACGCAATCTCCAGAGAGCTGCTCTAATGGTATTTATGAGCCAAAAAGAAGAAAATTCCTTGCAATGTCTTTTGCTGATAAGGTCATATCATTTGTGAAGACTGGTATACTAACCTGAAAGTCGGCGGGGACAAAGTCCTTCGCAAAAACGTTCAAAGAATGCCTTCCTCCACTAATTCTGTGGGGAAAAACTGACAGAGATTAGTTAACCTGGCGATTGTCAGCTACATCACTTCCAAATTTGAGCGTTTCACTGAGGCGCTGTCGCTTGTTTTACTGGGCATGTTCATGTTGCTACAAAAATTGGGTGAAAAGCAGTGCACTGGAAGAAGATCCTAGGAGGCGGAATTACTTCTCATTTTTGTTACTTGACATAATTCTTGTGAGAAACTAACGGACGTTACTCAGGCGCATATTCTTCTCGCTTGATTTGTCTTCCTTCGATTCTTCCACATTAACAGAACTTAAGTCACAAAACCACGTCAGCAGACTATGAGTATCTCTGACAAAATTTCCTCTCAAAGGGCCAGAATACCTGCATAATTATATTCCATACAGTACTCCAGTTAGTTCTCATAAATGATAAGCTTCCTAGGTGCACAATAGAAATTAAACAAAATACATACCCAAACTCTGGTGTGCCAAAATCGTCTGTTTGAATTCCCCGTTGCTTGAAAGCGTGGAATAAATGTATCAGCGTTAGGGTTCAATATATGACGTTGGTCGTCCTGTCCAGCAATGCTGAAATATTAAAAAAAGACGACAGGCAACGGTAACCAGCACGTTCCAGTTTTCCTAGATTCCTGTTACGTTTAAAGTCAAAGAAAGACAGGCCAAGACTCACTACAAGTGAGCCAAGTTAATATGCTATGAAGTTATAATGCTTCTCAAAAGTACCCGTGGACTATCAGCTATACCTAACATTAACCAGTTAGTTCTCATAAATGATTAACGACCCATATAAATAAATGCGCAATAGAAATGCAAAGTATGATTTATACCCAAGCTCCAGTTTGCCAAAAACGTTTGTTTCAAATGCACGAGTTGCTTGAAAGCCTGGGATGAATTCATCCGCGTCAGGGTTTAAAACGTGGTGGTGTTGGTCAATTTGTCCTTCAGTTCTGAAAAATTTAAAAGACGACAGGTGACAATAAACAGAAAGATCCAGTTTGCTTTGCCAATTAACAGCAAAGAAAAGCAGGCCAATATTCACATCAAGATTTCAACTTAAAGGGATCAAGCTTCTAGTTCACACTTTTATTGGTTTGCTCGAACTTAAATGATCACAGGCAAGTGTGAAAAGAGAAGAAGGCCTAAAATGGATCACTGTGAGACTACTCGGTTTAGGCGTGAGAGGCTGGAAAGTAGCCAAGAGACTTAACAGATTCGCCTACATTCTGACAGGAAAAACCTGAAGCAGTTTGTTGAAGTTGAGCTAGTGCGATACTTGGCAGGTTTTTTATAAAGATAGCTTTTAAAGTCGAGTCATGGTACAGTGTGTTTCAGTGACCTACTAGTTGGCTTGAAAGCTCAGAGCGTTGTTTACAGGTACATGGTAGGAGGAAGATCCTAAAGGACCGAAGAACTTTTCGTTTGGTTTGCACGCACACTTGTGTAAAATAATATCTCAGTTAGCTCTCACATATGAGTAACGTCCTCACTGCGCAATGGAAATAAAAATTAATATAAAACATACCCGCGCTCCAGTTTGGCAACTTTGTCTGTTCCAAAAAAGCTAGTTGTTGAAAAGCGTGGGATGAACTCGACGGCTTTAGCGTTTAAAACATGTTGGTCGACTTTCCCGGCCATGCTGAAATATAAAAAAGACCACAGGTAACGGTCACCTATACGTTCCAGTTTTCCTCCTGTTTACATGCAAACTTCCTAGTTGGAAGCTCGCGACTTTCAAGCGCGTATTGATCTTGTTTGTCTCCCTCTATTTACAGTATAAACTAAGGCTAATTCGCAGAACCTGTCAGCAGGCTATTATATGCTATACCGTTTTATCTATTTTCTTCGCAAAGAACCAGAATTTTAAACATCCATATCATGAAACACCTTGTAAAGATCTCATACATGACTACCATACTTGGTCGTGCGCAACTACAGTAATTTATACCCAAGCTCCAGTCTGCTGAAATCTTCTGTTTGAAATCCGTCATGCAGTTAAAACGCTGAAGCCAGCAACGTGACACAAGGTAAATTACAACAACTTTTTAAAAACATGTTGACATCGAACTTGTGCTGCGTTGCTGGAATATAGAAAACAAACAAAGGTTACAAACATCGGTTCAATTCCAGCTTGTCTAAATACGTTTCGACCGAAGCCAAACAAAAAGAAGCTTAAACTCAGCACATTATTTAAGTGCACTTACTTCGAAATACTTTGTACCGTAATCTTGAATTTTGCCGGGATTAAGATTGTGGGGAATCAAGAAATCGATCACTCCCTCTTAGCATTCTGCTAAGGGAAAGTCTTACCAGCTTAGTTCAAATTCTCTGTTTGGCATGGTCTTCTTTCCAATAATATCATCGTTGGGATCTGAGCATTCAGCTGCACACATTTCAATCTGAAGGCAAAAAAATGCATATTAAAACAAAGTAGTTCCTAGAACAAATTTTACACATGATATATGGGTGGGTGTGGTTTGTTTGTATCTATTTGTGCAAATTTAAAGCTGCATATTCATAGTTTGGAAAGAGACCCAACGTGGCCTTGATTATACTGAAAATGGCATGAATCAAGAAAGGCAAGGCTAAATCAGACCTTTTTAATTTCTTTACCATCAAGCGACCACTAAACAATATTTTATGAACGGTCGGCCTGCAGCCCAATTTAGAGTCGATCAGACAGGTCCATTTTTAATTTACATAGGATTGACGCGAAGAGGATTTCGTCTAAAATAAGACGCGACGACCACTAAACAATACGCGTTTTATGAACGGTCGGCCTTGCAGCCCAATACGTGCGCATGCGTTAATTTTTGGCGTAACGTTGATTCAGTCACGGGTGTCATTATTTATAACGAAGATTGCTTCTATAAACGGTACAGTTCGTGTCTTATTTAAGACGCGTCTTATTTTTCCTCGTATAAATGGCCCTAGTGTCTATTTCTAAAGAAGATTGAACGACCTCACTTACACTCTTCAAGTCCAATGAACTTTCAGGCCAGAACGTACAGGATGTTTTTACTTCTGCAGCTGCAACTTCATTGGAGATCACGGAAACATCACTGCCATATTCCATCAGGAGTGAACATTCTGGGAAAAACTCGCGGGCACTATCACTTTTTGGTAAAACGGACTCGCGAGTAATTCTTGTGGAATTTCGCTGTTCGAGAGGAAAATCAATGGCCGCTGTAACACTTTGTGGCTCGAAAGAAAGGTCAAGTTTTACTTCTGCGGCGCTCGACTCATGGACGACACTGGGGATGATTTTTTCTTGCACGAGAATGTCAGGAACCTCAGTTACACCCTCAAACTCGGCCGCAACTTCGGACTCAATTACACCGACGGTTTCCCATCCTAACATGCACTCACTCCCCTCCACTGTACCGCTGAGTTTGTCAACAATAATATCAACCGAGGTTTGACTGACTTCATCCAGTACTACATCCTCAGACTCAAGCTCAATCACACTATCAGTCAATTCGCAGACGACGGCCTGGATTATTTCTGCCTCAGGTGCAATGTCTTCAGCCAAAGCGAGGCTTTCCAATTCTCTTAAACTGCTTGTAATTACTTCAGCTGTCAAGTCTTCAGCGATCACATTTAGAAGTTCTTCTTGTACTTGTACCTCAGTCGCCCCACGTACACTTTCTAACTCGATTGCAAAGTCGGAAACTATTTTTACAGCGCTGTTTTCCTTTTTCGCTTCACTGGCCTCGTGTGCGACAACAGGGACAACCTCTTGTTGTAAACACATCTCAGTGGCTGCAGTTACGTTTTCAAACTCCACTGCAATTTCTGGTTGAATTGCACTGACAGTTTTCCATTCTAATGTGCACTCATAGGCTTTGTTGCTGAGCTTGTCATCTTCACTTGGGACGTCACTCAAGGTTTCTTTGACTCTTTCATGCACCTCGGGATCTTCAAATTCAGGCTCGATCACACTATCAGTCAATTCGCAGGTGACCCCTGAGATTGTTTTTTCTGCTTCAGATGCAATGTCTTCAACCAAAGAGGCGCTTTCCAATTCTGTTAAACTGCGTGTAATTGCTTCAGCTACCAAGTCTTCAGCGGTCACATTTATGAGTTCTTCTTGTACATGTACCTCAGTCGCCCCACGTACACTTTCTAACTCGATTGCAAAGTCGGAAACTAATTTTACAGCGCTGTTTTCCTTTTTCGCTTCACCGAACTCATATGCGACAACAGAGACAACCTCTTCCTGTGAATGGATCTCAGTGACTGCAGTAATATTTTCAAACTCCATGGCAATTTCTGGTTGAACTGCACCGACGGTTTCCCATTCTGATGTGCAATCATGCACCTTGTTGCTGAGCTTGTCATCTTCACTTGGGACGTCACTCAAGGTTTCTTTGACTCTTTCATGCACCTCGGGATCTTCAGATTCAGGCTCAATCACACTGTCAGTCAATTCGCAGGTGACCCCTGAGATTGTTTTTTCTGCTTCAGATGCAATGTCTTCAACCAAAGAGGCGCTTTCCAATTCTGTTAAACTGCGTGTAATTGCTTCAGCTGCCAAGTCTTCAGCGGTCACATTTATAAGTTCTTCTTGTACTTGTACCTCAGTCGCCCCACGTACACTTTCTAACTCGATTGCAAAGTCGGAAACTAATTTCACAGCGCTGTTTTCCTTTTTCGCTTCACCGAACTCATGTGCGACAACAGAGACAACCTCTTCCTGTGAATGAATCTCAGTGACTGCAGTTATATTTTCAAACTCCATGGCAATTTCTGGTTGAACTGCACTGACGGTTTCCCACTCTAATGTGCACTCATGCACTTTGTTGCTGAGCTTGGCATCTTCACTTGGGACGTCACTCAAGGTTTTTTTGGCACTTTCATGCACCTTGGGATCTTCAGATTCAAGCTCCATCACATTATCAGTCAATTCGCAGGTGACCCCTGGGATTATTTTCTCTGCCTCAGATGCAATGTCTTCAGCCAAAGAGGCGCTTTCCAATTCTCTTAAACTGTTGGTTATTGCTTCCGCTGCCAAGTCGTCAGAAATCACATTTAGGATTTCGTCTCGTACGAGTACCTCAGTCGCCCCACGTACACTTTCTAACTCGATTGCAAAGTCGGGTACAAATTTAACAGCGCTGTTTTCCTTTTTCGCTTCATCGACCTCATGTGCGACAACAGAGACCCCCTCTTCTTGTAAATCGATTTCAGCAACCTCTCTTAAACTACTGCTTATTACTTTAGCTGCCAAGTCCTCAGCCATCACATTTAGAAGTTCTTTTTGTATGAGTACCTCGGTGTCGCCACTCACACTTTGTACTTCGATTGCACTGCCTTCAGATGCTAGGGTAGGAACCTGTGAAATTAACAGCCAAGATTACCCAAATTTACAAAGACGCAACCTAATCACTCTGATAATTTTTAATGGTTTTTATCGAATTTAACCATCAGTCTCCATTTGTTAAAAAGTTAGATAACGCTATCCACTGGATAACTCTCTATCCAATGGATAACTTTATAATTAGTTTTCCTAACACGTATTCCCAGGATAGTGATTCGTCCGGTGGATATATAGCCCTGTTCGATGTTTGAACAACTGAGGCCAGTATTAAATGCTTCTTTACTAGACAAATTACTATGTTATCTTTATTTGCTAAAAGGACCCTTAAACTTATAATAATTAATATACCTAGAGTAAATTCTAGCCCTTCAACCAATCATCATTAATCTCGTCCCCGCAGACGTGTTTACCTGTCCGCTACCCACTGGACAAGGGTAAAAGGGGCTTCAAAACAAAGTTTGCTCTCACATGTGCAGCAGATACAATAGCTATAAAAGGCAGAGGTTATAAACCTGTCTTTTAATTTTTACGTAAAACCATTCTTATTACCATTTGTTGCGGTTTATCTGTCTTCTGGTGTATATTAAATCTGCTGTCCTTGATCCTAAAAAAAAAGTAAATAAATAAATATATATTTTTTATTTAACCATAAAAGTTGGTTATGATTTTGTCATTTTCTACTTTAATAATTAGAGGTTTAGAGAGAAACGAAATCTCAATTCAAAGTGTTAAGAAGAATTTCTCAGCTAAATGAAAGTTTAATTTTGATACGACAGCCATATTGAATTAATTGGATTTAAGGAGTATTATGGGATGCCCAGGGGGCATGAGCACGATCCGATATACTCGCTCCGTATTTACGCGCACTTTTTCGGGCCAATTTTTCTTTAAGTTTTCCTAGAAAAAGATTGTAATGGGAAAAAAAGATTGTTGTGCCGTGTTTGGATTAAATAATGATCACCTTTTTCCAGAGAAATATACATTGAAGTTCTCTTTTTGCCCGAAAAGCGCGCGCAAATACTGAGCGATTGCCCCCTGGGCATCCCATATTACTCCTATTATACTACTGCATGAGAAATTTCTGCAATTTGATTGACTTAGAGCAGTGGTATTTCAGCTTAATTTGAAATACCTACATGTGAAAATTACAACCCTTTTGTGGGTAGTAGTATAAACAAATAATAGCATGATTTGTACATGATATTTGGCATAAATACCACTCGTGACATTTCAAAATTGTTTCAAATTTCACTCGCCTAATGGCTCGTGAAATTATGTAGAACAATTTTGAAATATTACTCGTGGTATTTATTCCAAATATCACTACAAATCATGCTATTACCTATACAAATCTAATTGCAATGTGGCCGCCGTATCGGTAAAAAGGTTTATTGATACAAACGCGCTTAGAACCGGAATTACATTTTTTAAGGCGTGCTGCTAGAAATGTCACCAGGCGTGTGAATGCTGCCACCTTTTGGCTAGTTGTATTTCGCTCAGGACCACAAAAAGGGTTTACTCCAAAAAAAATAAGCCTTCGGATAAATTTGATCACAATTTCAATGAACTATATGCTGACTCCGATAAACCCAATGATTTTCAATGCATCAAACTAAGAAGCGTACAAATGATCTTATTCCTCGTGAGAAAATCAGAAATCGTTAAAATGGTTCCCCCAAAGTGCAAAAAATTGTCCATCCGTAAGAACAAAACTCCTGCAAACTTAAAGTTCATCGGCAAAATTAAACTCCTGCAAGCTTAAAGTTCGGAAGACGCAATTTTGGTGACTCGCGCGCAAATTATGACTAGGCTGTGACGTCATCTCTCGTTACCATACCAACCGACTGTCAACAATTTTCCCAAATGCGTCTAAGAAATGGAAAAAAGTTGTTCAACAAAAAAAAATCCCTTATCAGTTCATGAGCAAGCCTACTATAATAAAAAAATTAAGTCTACCTTTTTCCTAAATAAAAAAGGAAAAATCTGAGAAGAACAATCAGTTTCAGTTGGTGGTTAAATTTTCTTGTATCTTTTTGCTAAAGCTTGACAAGGCATCCGGCACAAACACACTTTTCTGTAGCTGAAATAAAAGGTAAAAAAACCTAACCTACCTTTGTTGAGGTATCACTTTAACTGCTGTAGGCACCCTTGAATGAAAACAGAATCTCCAAAGTTTATACGTGGCTATATAGCCGACCCAAAAAGAAGCAAACACCATCCTGCAACTTTGCAAGAAAGTTTGAAACTTCCATTGATACGTCATAATCATTACACGTCATTCATGGAATGTGGAACAAACGCAGCGCGCGCGATTCTTTTTTCCTCGTCATCACTGAACAGCAGTAGAGTCGTTAAAAATAAAGATGTTTTTCCTTACCGACGTATAACAAATACAAGTTCCCAACAACACTCGGGGATTAAGACACATCTTCCGCTGACTCTGCTAAGTCCATGCCTCAGAGTGCTTTTGAATTTTTTCCCCGCTTTTTATAGGTTTTGGCATGATAGATCGTGCGACCACACATTTTTGGGGAAAAACACTACTTGCAAAATTTCCCTTTGTACTTCTTTTTTTTTCGCCGAAGGACCTTTTTATCAAAACTTACTGGTTATCAGTCTCAGTATCGAACGTGCGCTGTTAAAGATATCAGTTTGTTCAAATAAGTTGAAAACTTTAGTTTTTGTTCTTACCTACCTCCAGTAGCTGCGCAAGTTGTGGTGTTAGTAAAATTAGTAAAAAGGGACGTCCAATAGCACCAGACTAACCACATCTTTAAATTCAGAATATTTTCTCCGCTTAGCATCAACCGCTAATTTTTCCAGTACAATATATGAGCGGTGATCGTTTACCAAGCGCGCGTGCACATCTCGCGTGTCAATTAACTTTTTGCACACGACTGCAAAAATCAACGAACTTTATTTTGAACGTGTCATTTGTCATCCAAGAAAGAAGGAAGTATATCACTGGAATGTTGCAAATCCAACCGGAAATATGGTGTCATAACTAACAATTTTAAGTCAGCTTTAGTGCGATTTGTTTTTCGTCTTAAGACGAGGACTTACAGTCATAATAGTGCCGGAGATTAAACGCAAACTTCACAGCTGTAATACCTTAAGGGGGATTACAGTTAAACGCCTGTTTGTATTATAGTCGGGCACTTTTCCTTGAAAATCTAGCTCGCCAAAATGTTATTCGATTTTTAAAATTAATCACTCATCCTGAAGTTCTTGGAACGATGAGTTTTTGAGAATTTTTTGTTGATTATTAGAATATTTGTAATCAATAAAAGTTTGAAGGGTAAATGTTAAAAGTTGAGGGAAAATGAGAAAATATTGGATTTAAGGGTAGTTAAAAATTAAAATTTGAAGTAAATAATTAATAGACAAAAGACCAGAGAGTCCGCCACCACAACAAGGTGGTTCCGATCCAATTAGCGGACTAACTGGTTTACGTGTATACCCTCTTACATCCTTATTTCTTTCATTCTCAATTCAACCCCAATTCCCCCAAAATTCAACTGTAATCCCCCTTAAGGCTAATTGCTCACACTACTATACCGAACAACTTTTTCGTGCCCGCCGAGAAAAGGTATCCTGTATAGATCTAGTATGAATTCCTATCCGCTTTGTGACTTTCCACTTTAGAGATCGGCGCGGCGCGGCGCGGCTTCGCTCGGTTACAGAAATCGCGCCGAAGTCACCAGAACAGAAGAAGCCCTGCTTTTCGGTTTGGTTTTCTTTTCGGCCCAAAAGCTATACTATAGTGAACATAGCCTAAAGAAGACAGGAACTGTTAATTTTTACTCTTACCTTGCCTGCATTGAACGATTACAAGTGTGAACTAACTGAAAAGCAAATGCTAAATACGGCCGTTGTTATTAATATTTCTTCTTTCCGCCAGCTACTTTTACTCCCTGGGAGCTCCCTTTTTTTGGGGGGAGGGGGGGGGGGACGGAGGAGAGTGACTCCCGGATAAAGGACATCTTTGGGACTGAAATTAGATCTTAAGATCGTGACTCACTGACGGCTTCCCAACCAGTTTGCGTGAAAAATAATCACAATATACATGAATCAAACAATTATTATTAATGACAAGAAATTTATTAAACAGCAAAGTCTCTCAAAATTGAAACTTTCAGAACAAAATAGTTTAATTTATTCTTACATACAAATTCACAATTCTTCCATGTCCTAAATACAAAAGGTATTTTATTAAAAACTAAACTGACTGTTGTTTTGACTGACGAGAAATCCAACCTAAGCATATGCATGTGTACTATAAACCTATACCACAAGCTGCAAACATTTACAAAATTATCGACAAACAAAGATAAACACGGCAAAGTTTGGAAATAACCAACCATCTTTCGTTCGACAGAGGTCCATCGCAAATCACTTCTAACAGGTACTATACATTTTCATAACAAATAAATGAAGTTGCCAGACTCAATTCACCTTACACAAGTTGGTCGTTTTGCCTATGATTTGCGTTATTGATCCTGCCTGTAGAAATTTTTGATGCTATAAAGGTTTGAAAGCAACGAGACTTACAATTTTTGCTTCTATTTGAAAATTAAAGACGCAGGAAGGGGAGGGGAAAAAATTCTCCACCCCGTTTCTGACGCTTAGTGTCGGTCAGAGAGACAACAGTTTTAAGTTAGGTAATTTTCGTCTTTTTTAAGCCAAAGATATATCTTTTTTTCAAAAAGTTACCTGAAACCTCTAAAAAACTTAGTCATTAGAACTTTATAGCCGGTTATGTTAGGTGTTAAGCTGTGAGATTTATGCGAAAGCATTAAATTGCAATTTAGAGGTTTCAGGTACAAAAAAAAAGCGTTCGAATAAGACGCATCCCGTTTTGGTTGATCTGGAAATCAAGCTGCAGTCTACACTAAGCTGACAGTTTTTGAGTTTACTTTTTCAACAAAAAAAATTTAAGCGACTTTTGTAAATTACTTTTGGACTCTTAAATGGCTTTTCGAAATATTACAAATCTTTTCAGGTTAAAGCCTTTTCAGAAAGTATTATTGTGGCACAAAAAGGACTACATCACTCCTATTCAAATATATGTGAAAAAGCAGAGAAACTTTGTATCTCAGTCATCATATCCAAAAAGAAATTTATGAACAAGACTAATTGTGCTTGAGTGGAGAAATGGCAAGTTAAAAAAACTAATTCTGCGAACCCGTTGATATTAAGTTTCATCTTTCGCAAACATAAAAAACTTCATCAGTATGCTCTGGTTCTTCAGTATTTCTCTGCCATTTCACATTTAATAAAAATTTAAGGTCTCTACAACATATCAAATATTCCTTGGTTTTTTATTATCCTAGATAAAAAAAACTTATTTTCGACTTCAGCTTTCCTTGGTTTTTTATTATCCTAGATATCAAGAGAGAATCATTCTCTCTTGTAGATATATAATAGTTTCAACCAGTTTAGGGTCTTGTACTGGCAGATGGGCGACTGGATCGAGTCTTCATTCCATTACTCCCAACAGCTTGCGCAGTCAGTAGTGTTGTGCGTCTTTCCTGTTAGCTGTTGAAAAAAGA